GAAAGCATTAAATTTCTGTACCCTTAGGGTACAGGACATCTTGAACTAGTGCAGTAAATAGCAGAGATCTCTTTGCTCGAGCTGTCCCATTCCATCTTTTTTGTAGATGATTGATGTTACCCAATTGCACCATCAAAGGAGGCCTTGATGAAAGCATTCCATCAGTATTCAGATGACAAAAACTTACCATTTGATTTTTGAAGTTGCTGATAAATACAAGAGAAATTACATGAAGAGGAGGCAGTGGTCTGTTTTCCAAATATTTCTTGGAGCAGCCCTTGTTTGTAGCGTATATTCACACACCAACACGATGCTGTATTACATCAGGCATAATAGGGAAGCATGAAAGGTCAGTTTAGCTGATGGTGTGAATAATTCTTTCCCCAGTACAACCTCAAAATTCAACTGAATGGTTCTTCTGCAGAGAAGAAGCAGATGTTCAGTGTCTTCCAGTTAGCCTACCCTCCTGAGAAGAAATATCAAATCTGAAGTTCAAATTGTTTGTTACCTACACATACACATACAGAAGACAGGCACCAGTTCTTGAACAAATCACTCAGAAGAAATGTAATTATTTCTTTCAAGTACTTCACTTGTACTTTCAAGTACTTCAAGTACTTCACAGCACTAATGGCGATTCCAAGAATTAGCTTTCTTAGAAACCAACACTTTCAAGGGAACAGAGAAACCCATACCTCTTTCTCCAGACATAGCTGATCATTTGGGAAACTGTGCAGAAAACTTAGATTCACAAAGCATGCCTTTCTAAGATTGCAATTAACTTCCATGCTGATTAAAAGCATTTGAAACATTATCCTTTTGTGTTTGCTGATGTTGCTGTTCACGCAGTACCATAATGCAGATTACATGATAATTTTTATTTGTCCTCCTCACTCTGATGGAGTGAGAAGTTGCCTCTGTAAGTCTTCTGTGAAGTGCATGGAACTTTCACTGTCTTAGCCCAGTGCTCAGGAAGACAATGTAGGCAGCAGTTTAGAATAGTTCAGTCAGAAGAGACCTTCAAAGATCAACCTTCTGACCACTTCATTAATAACCAAAAGCTGAAGTATGTCACGGATAGCATAATCCCTGTGCCTCTGGAATGAACACTGATAGGCTTGCAGCATCAATCACCTCTCTAGGTGTTCTGGTTTCAGATGGGACAGAGTTTATATATCTTTTGTAGTATCTGGTATGATGCCATGTTTTGATGTTTAGAGAAAAACTGTGTAGATAACATACTGATATCTTGGTTGTTCTTGAGCAGCACTGTGAAGAGCCAAGGACATCTCAGTTTTCAGCTTCTCACACAGACCTGGCAGCAAGGGAGCTGCAGACGGGGGGCACAGGGAGATGGGAGGGTACAGAACCAGGACAGCAGACCCAAAGTGGTCAAAGGGATATTCCAGTGTGACACCATGTGGGAAAACTGGATAAACTGAGGGGAGTTAGATGGGCAGGCAGCCACTGCTGGGCATCAGTCAGCAGGTGGTGAGCAATTCTTTTGTGCATCACTTGTTTTGTAACCATACATGTGTATATTCTCATTACTATTATTTCTCTCTTTGTTTTCTTTCCTAATAAGTAGTTTTGTTTATCTCAGCTTGAAAGTTCTGCTTTTTTTTTCTTCTTCCTAATTCTCTCTTCCATTCCATTAGCAGCAGGGGGAGTGGTACTGCACCCTCACAGTAAAGAAATGTTTCCTAACATGCAGTCTGAACTCCCCGTGGCACAATTTTATGCTGTTCTCTTGTGTTCTATTATTGATTAATCCAACATCTATGTCATCACAGCACATTGCAACTGTTGTTATTCTTATGTCCTCATATCGTACCTCACTAATTGTATTGGATAGTCAGTTTGCAAGCTGACACATTCCCTATCTCATAAGGAAATGGAAAGCAAACACTAGAAGCAAATTAAAGTATGTCCACTTGTAGTGTTTGGCAACACTGTAGTTTTGGAAATCATACTTGTGTGACTTGAAAAAAAAGGACAAGTCAGTCCCAAACTGCTACTAACACTGATAGCATCACAATCTAGTTTTCACTGAGTTTAGTTCAGCTTGCTAGAAAAAGGTTGCCACTTCGATTGCTGTTATGTTTTTGGTTTTTTGTTGCTTTTATTTTGGGGTGGGTTTTTTTGTTCATTTGTTTTTTGTTTGCTTTACTAAGTACTAGAGCTGAGGGATTTGAATGTTTATAAAAAGCTGAATATATGATAAAAATGGGGTTTTTCAGCAAATCCCAAATGGAGACAGAAGTTACAAAATATTTCCTTGAAGTTATGAATCCCTTTTATTTCAAATGCTTCTGGGCTGGTTTTGCAAAATGAGCATTCATCCAAAAAAACACATGTGCTTAAAATGTCTGCAGTCAGGTGCAGCACTGAAAACAGTTAAAGGATTGCTGAATAAATACTGAGTTATAAAAAACATCTTAAGAATTTAAGAAATAAATCGCATCCTCAGATTAAAAAAATCAGAGCTATACAAGTTTTAACCAGAGGTTCAGACCTGGAAAGTTTGTTTTTCCCTTTCTCTTTCTCTTTTGTATTTCCTTTTCCTACTTCTTTTCCTTTTTCTATTTCTATTCCTTTTCCTTTTTCATTTGGGGTGTTTTTTTGCTTGTATTTTGTAATTAAATAAAATGCATGAAAGGTTTCTTCTTGCATAACTGAGTCTTTGACAACCACTTCAATTGAAATAACTTTGAATGATGTAAGTGGAGATGCATTCATTTATTCCAGCTGTGCCTCAGGAAGAAGATGAGACTCAACACCTTGTACTGTATTGACAGAGACAAGAGAAATGTGTTATTCCCTGCTAGCTGCTGCAAATGCGATCAAGCCTGAGTTCTGTATGGCTGACTTCTCCATTTATCACCCACCACTTGGAAAATTCCCATGTTGTCAAAAATGGGAACTAGGAGGCAAAATGACACAAATATTGTGAAAAATTGCTGTGTGCTCCAAAGGCCAGCACTGGAAAATGTTGCAAAACATCAAATCTCCAATGAACATGCTGTGATGAATGAAACCAATATAATTCATACCCTCACTTCCCTGAGCCAGATAAACTTTTCTGCAGCAGGCATTAGATGTGGAGCACTGCAACCAGAAAGAGTACAGAGATAGACCAATGGGCTACTCCGCAGTAATCCCCTGATTTTTTATCAAAACTTTTTTAAACATAGCAAATATTAAGCTTGTTCTATTTTTTAGCCTGCTTTTACATTGCTCTTAAAGGAAAATGTGGTTGTTACTGTAGTATTTTTTATGCAGGTGACAAGAAGAAAATTTATCATGGACGAAGAGTTAAAACAGTGATGTTTGTTGCGCATGTGCTAAGCATGGGAAGTGAACTGCAAGAAGAAACTTCCATCCATCAGCTCCACGCTGCTCCACATTGCTGTGCCCTCAGACACCATAGACCAGCCCATCACCAGGAGCACAGCAGCACCATGCCCTTGCCTTGTCCAAAGTGCAGAAAGATCCATTGCTTTGTGGGAAGAGAACAGGTACACTTTCTAAAAGATGCTCAGAGAGATGATCGATCTTCTTGAACTCTTGTCAGAGAGGTCTCATGGCTCAGACATGGAGCTTGATGATAAACTCCAGGCACAGTTTTTCCCAAAACCATTATATGGCACAACAGCTCAAGGTTCCAACTCCAAGCTTATCCAGCAAATTTGAACATAAAAAATGGACGAATGATGTTGAGTTTATTTTTATTGTTTATTCTCTCTAATTCTGTTTGGAGCATGAAGCCTGAGAGAAACAAAAAAAAAAAACACAAGGCCCACGATACTGAGTTAACATTAACTGCTAGGCAAACAAGCAGAGCACACTCCAAAACAGAAACAAGAGCGGTTTAGGGAGCTACAACTCAGGCACATGACATTTACGAGAATGCACAGTGTAAGTACACTTTCTAACCATGTTCCCTAAGGCAAGATCTCAGTTATGACCTAAAAGACTACTAAAAAAAACATGCATACAACTCTTGATGAAATTAAACTGCAAAAACAGCTGATACAAGCTGAACAAAGGGCCAAGAGGGCCAATGGCATCCTGGGATGCATTAAAAAGAGCGTGGCCAGCATGTCCAGGGAGGTGATCCTGCCCCTCTACTCTGCCCTGGTGAGGCCTCATCTGGAGTACTGCATCCAGTTCTGGGCTCCCCAGTACAAAAAAGACAGGGATCTCTTGGGAAGAGTCCAGCGGAGGGCCACAAAGATGGTGAAGGGCCTGGAGCATCTCTCCTATGAAGAAAGGCTGAGTGAACTGGGTCTGTTCAGCACTGAGAAAAGAAGACTGAGGGGAGACCTGATCCAGGTCTATAAATATCTAAGGTGTGGGGGGCAGAATGGCGAGGCCAGACTCTTTTCAGTGGTGAGTGGAGACAGGACAAGGGGAAACGGCTGGAAACTGCAGCATAGGAAGTTCTGCACAAATGTGCTCAAGAACTTCTTTACAGTGAGGTGACGGAGCACTGGAACAGGCTGCCCAGGGAGGTGGTGGAGTCTCCTTCTCTGGAGATGTTCAAGACCTGCCTGGATGCCTACCTGTGTCGCACAGGTGTTCCCTGCTGTAGGGAACCTGCTTTGGCAGGGGGGTTGGACTCAATGATCTCTGGAGGTCCCTTCCAACCCCTACAATTCTGTGATTCTGTGATTCTGTGATGTCCCACACCACATGGTGTCATGCAGAGGCTGTAAAATTGAAGGAAGTTGGCTGTGGGAGGCAGCTACTGCCCAAGGACAGGCTGGGCATCAGTCAGTAGGTGATGAGATGCATTGTGCATCTCTTATATAAATATGTGTGTGTGTGTGTGTGTGTGTGTGGACTGATTTATACATATATATATAAGTATATATATGGACATGATTTAGAGTAGGGTTGTTAGAGTTAGGGTAGTAATGGTTAGGTTGCAGTTGGACTTGATGATTTTTAAGATCTTTTCCAACCTGAGCTATCCTGTGATGATTCTATGATTCTATGATTCTATGATTCTATGTATATTATCATTATCATTGTTTTTTTCTGTTCCTCTTCTGTTAGTAAACAGTTCTTACCTCCACCCATGAGTTCTACACTGTGGGAGTTTTTTTCTCATTCTTGCCCCCATCCCACTGGGAGTGGGGAGTGAGTAAACAGTTGTGCGGTGCTAAGCTGCCTGCTGGGTTAAAGCACAACTCCAAACTAATATCCTTTCTTCCCTATTGGTCATGTCTGGAGGTCAAATATTGTTTCAAATAAAGGAACAAACAGGCAAAGCAAACTTGGAAGAAACTCACCAGTCAGAGTAAAGGAAGGTGAGAAGTCTATTCCACTTTTGTAGGCAGTTGTCAGAGATTTGATCTTATATACTGGCTGTTAATAATGCAATATACTTGGGTAACTGAGAAGTTATGGTAAAGCAACAGAGGCTATGAGAAGTATTATCATTTAAGGCATGATCTAAGTATCTTCTAAGATGGCATAGTAAGACACAAGGAGAAGTTAAGCCACAAGAAACCAAAGGTGCGAGGAATTAATCCACAGGAAGTTAAGTCACTAAAATGAGTCTCTCCCCTCCACTTCATTTCTGTTCGTAATTGTTCTTCCTTTGTCTTTCTGTTCTGCTGTTTCTTGCATTGTTCTGTCTCTCACCTCTTTCCTTCAGATCAAAAAGCTGGATTTAGTCAGCAACTCACAGACATTTCCCTGTATAAAGTTAGAGCAAAGTTTTGATGATGTCTCATTTGATGTGTGATGTGGGATGTATGGGACAGTGATGAAGACATGCAAGTGCTCATTTACAGCAGAAGAATCTCACATTGTTGAGCGCTGTATCATCCTGAAATCCTTGTGGTGGCTCTACCTTTGTCTGGAGACCACATATTTTGCATCTTTTGCTCCATGGGCCAAATCTTCCCCATGATAGTCCATCACCTACTAAAACAGCTTCATCCGAGCATCTGAATTGGATGTTGTTGGCCGCTGTGTCATCACCTCCTCCTTGAGACTTCTCCGTTCTCAATGAAAAGGAGATCAAGTAGCCTGTAGGACAAACTAGGAAGCTGGTCCAGGTACCCCATCTGCCAAGAAAAAGCAGACAGAGGAATTTCTGGGCTCTGCAGGCCATTGGTTGTACCCTTTCTCCTTTCCACACTGCCTTCAAGTTTAATGGCTCCTTGCTCTCAGCAGTGACTATTACAATGCCCTGATGCACTCTGTGTCTTCCTTTGGATGTACTTTTCTCTTTATTGGTATCTTATCGGAAAAAAAAATAACAGAAAATTCCAGATTCTGCTAGAACCTCTGTGGAACACATGTTTTATGACAAATCCCTGGCCTGGCTCACAAGTATGCGTAAGAGAGCAGTGAGAGCACACACTCTGCCATCCTGAGGGGCATTGCAGCAGGGCCAGGACTTCAAACAAAGTTTCTGAAGATATGGTTAAAAATCCCTTTCTCCTCATTTGTCACATACGTTGCAGATTTCCAAGAGGGGCTGTAGCCCTGGGAACATGACTGAAGTGTTCACAGTGCTCTGCAGAAATTTCAACAGCAAAAGAAGGTGGTGATGAGAAGTATCCCTATTTAATTGCCCTAAAAATGAATGAAATAAAATAGTCAACCACTCGCATTATTTTACTTTCTATTCCAGCTCCGAGAAAAAAAAGTCAAAGAAGAGACCCCTAAAAATGGTGATGCTTAGGGATATCTTGTGAGATGGTGCATGACAGATGGGGGAGGAACCAGTGTTACTTACTTCCCCACCAAGGACTCAATGATTGAGCCTTCGAGGCAGCGCAGCCGTATACCGTTCAGAGCTGTGTCATCTCTGCCAAACTGGGAGGGCTCAACCTGCAGTGCGAAACACACGGACAGAGATAAAGGCAAGATGGAGAAGGCTCAGGAAAAGCCCTGTGAGTGCCTGTCATAAAAAGTTCTATTCTATTCTGTACTGAAAAAAAATACCTTGAAAAGCATGTAGGAAAAGACGTCTGTCACACTAGGAAACAGTTATGTAGCTATGTAACACAAGCAACATGCTCTTCTTTGTGGTTTTTTTAACTCTTTTTGGTTTGACAGATAGAGCAGAGACTCAGCTCCAGGGAACACACTGGGGAAGGCTGCCAGCTCTACTGAACCCTGACTTTGGCATAAATGTGGCTTCCTCCAGCAAAGTCAGTCACAGGCAGAACATGAGTATGCCTGCATGCCCCTGCCCAGTCTGACAACAAAACAATTCTGGCAGTAGCTCTGTTTTTGCTGTATCCAATATGAGTCCTCTTGTCTTGAAAACAAATGAATTAATTGGTAGATAACCATATTTTTAGTTTGCTGGTATAATTCTGGTGGCTACGTTTTCCCAAAAGCTCAGAATTTGACATGCAGTATGCCACAGTCAGGAGGAGGACAGATACTTTAGAAACCCCTCAGAGTTTGGGGAAGACCTTCAAGGAAACATAGAGCAGGACACAGAGAAACAGGAGGCAAAGAAAACAGGGAGAGTTTTACCTTCAGCGCAAATCCATCGGCGTAGCCACTGTGGCAAAACTGCCGAATGCCCCACTTTCCCCAGTGGCCTCCATTGGGCACGGTGATGACAGAAGTGTATTCACGTGCCCCTGCATCCACAGCGTAGAAAAAGAGCAGGATGAGTGCTGCTGGTGTGAACACCTTCATCTCTCCCACTCTGCATCTGAAGGGGACCTGGTGTACGGACAGGGAACTTATACCCTGTCCAGTCAGCTTGGGTTTCCCCATCAATTTGTCAAGTCACTGTAGGAACAATAGCTCCTACCCAGGCAGCAACACAGCACTTGCTGACCTGTTTCTCGTGCCAGTGAGGAGCTCACTTGGAAGAACAGTTTGACAACAAACATGCAGCAAATGCTGGGACATTAGAGATGCCCACTTTACTGGAGAGCTATAGGAACACCTGTGTTGTCCTTGCTGTGCTGATGGTGCTCAGAGAGAAACTTGGCAGAAGCTTAATGCTGATTCTCTGGGCAGGTCCTTGGCCACGTGAATATTTGCCTTTTGAGTGAAACTGTCATAACCATTTTAGTTATTTCTAGAAGGCTGGCAAAACAGGTCAAACTATGCAAAGTAACACAAGGGTCCTGATCTGGAACAGAATATCCCTAAACTCATGTCCCATGTCTCTCTATCCCACCGATGAATAGAATGCCTGGCAAAGGTGTGTATGTATATATACATACATATATAAAAGGTAATACCTGGTAATGTGCATATACATACATACATACATACATACGTACATATATATACAAAAGGCTGTTCTGAAATTAATGTCTCCCATTTTGTCATTTTGGCCCATGACATCAGAGGTGGATACTGATGGTTTGTCAGTAGAGGCTGAGCCTTCCCACCAGTGTTCTATCCCATTTTGTTGTTGTGTGACAGATGGCAGCAGAGGAGTGGTCTGACAAAATGGCATCTGACATGGAAGTGTACTTGAAGCAAAGGTGTGGAACTGAACACTCAGTGAGGAAAAACTGCTGCCCACTGACATTCAGTGATTCTTGCTGAACATTTATGGAGAACAAACAGTGGATGTGAGCACAGTGAGGTGGGGGGTGCTGCACTCCAGCAGTGACAACAGAGACAGTCAGTCACCTCTGCTGGTGCAGGTGGCTATGAGCATGACATGCAGGCTCTCATTCATTGCTGGTGAAAATGCATAGTTCATGGTGATGACTACGTTGAAAAATTTTGTAGCTGAGAATTTGCTTTGTCAAATAGTGTTATTATGTTCTTTGTATTGATTGCATTTTCCATGGAAATAAATAGAAGGCATTACTTTTGGAACAACCAAGATGTATGGGCTATTTAAGGTTTCAGTACCATTTTGTTTCCACTGCTACTTTTATCTCAATAAAAAATACTGTGCTTTGTCACAAGCTTAACTGGTCAGAAATGCTGAGGTGCCCCCAGCAAGTCTCAAAGTAACTGAAAAATAAATGCCACTGGGGAGAAATGTGTATGGCAGGTTATCCAGAAAGGCGGTTCTGAATTTGAGTCTCTGAGGATGGCAAAATGCAGGGAGAGATGAATTTGAATCCCTGTTTTTGAAAGGATCTCTTCACACACAGATAACAAATGCTCCCTGAAGACCACAGCCAAGCTTAGCTGGAGCTGATTCTCTGTTCAAGAGGCAAAGAGGAGAATATAATTTAGAAATACATCCTCTGGCGCAGGATTTTAGAGCAGGATAGGATGCCAAGCCTTTAATTACTGGAAGAGAACAAGTTTCCCTTTTCTAGGGTTCTCTTTCACTCTTTGCTGTGTTTCTGCCCCAGTAAGAGCTGATGTTGCCTTTCCAGTCTTCACTCTGCATTCTCCTTCTACCGATCCACACTTCTGTAGGTGACAATATCTGCAAACGGTGATGACAGGAATCTGGACAAGCCTTTTTGGGGAAGGGACCACAAGATCACCCCAAGTGATGGAGGCACAGCCTTTTTTCTTTAAGAGACTGGGACTTTAATTTTGATTCTTGAGGGCGGGTGTCAGAGCCCAGAGGACAGGTGCTTTCCATCACAAGGACCATGCAACCATGGCTGCTGAGCCAGGTGTGTTTGCTCAGGTAGAGTCACACCAGGGCAGATAGGGACACTCAGACCTGCCCTTGTCTGCAAGAGAACAGAAAGAAGCAGAAAGAAACGACTGGGACGTAGTGGTAACACCACAAAGAAAAATCAGGATCCCCACATTCATTTATACTTTTCTTGCCCCAAATCACCTCCAGCAGTCCTGCAGACCCACGGCCTAGCAGAACCCTACCAGAAGATGCCCAGCAGCACAGGAAGGGGTCCCAGGGCACCAGGAGCCCATAGTGTGCAAGGGGATGAGGGAGAGGGCTGGGATTCAGCCATGAGGAATGAGTAGTGCTGTCACTCTAGGACCAGGGAAGTATCATTTTCCCCATTTATAAACAACAAAACTACTTACTAACCTGCAGTGTCAAATGTGAGATAGTTGATTCTTTTCTACTTTTTAATTCTCTAAACCTGTAATTTTTAAAAAACCTAGTTAAAAATTTTATTTCACTGGCAGGTAGGGAAATTCTGTTCCCATCACTCTCTCTACTATGTATTTGGTAAAACTTCCTGTAAAAGATTAAATACGCTAATCTAGAAGAAGTTTCTTTTAGCAACGTAACTTAGAAGTAGAAATTGCATCTCAACCTTCAGCCATCCATTCTACCCTCTATGTTGGGTATCATGCCCTCTTTTTTGCAAAACATGGCGAACCCTCTGGAGCAGGGAGGGGTCCAACACGGTGGTTGCCCAAGAGATAAGTGAAGGACAAGAAAACTCTGCTGAGTCTGTTGTCCCTGAGGATAATAAAACCTACAGGAAACTGGAAGAGACATATCAATGGGAACAAGAAGGCAGAAGAAACGGCCACATAGATCATCTCAGTGATGTGTTCTCATTGAGCTGTACGAAGGGCTGAAGGTAGTAAGTGCTTGGGAACTCGGGGGGGGAGTGGAGACAAACTGCATCTACCCAAAGAGAAGTCAGTAATTAGAGAGGGGTGCTTTCTGATGAATGGCTGTGTTTCTGTGTGCTCTTGGCCATTTGGTTTTTCTCCCACACTTTCACCAAGGTAATGGTTGCTACCTATCAGCTTTCAGTAGCCATGTCCCCAGCAGCTCCTATGTCCAAAGTGGCCCCTACACTTAGGTACAAATCAGGTGTAACACACACCCTGCCAAACCACCCTGACCTCCAGCTTGAGGGAGGAGATGTAGGAGATGTGCCACTTCACAGGTAACTGCATTCCTGCAAAATAACTCAGTGTCTCAGAGGAAAGGCACAGCAACAAACCCAGAAATCACACCTGTGTTGTCATGAAATATCAAATCTGTTTTGTCTTTGTAAAAATACAAAGGGTTGCATTATTTAGAAACAAGTGGTGAGATTCTGACTGAACCTGGATGTCTATTGTAGATAATTCCCTTTATGGCTGCTGAGAAAAACAGTACGATGGCAGTAGTGAGAAATAAATACCCTCACATAAACCTCTCCCTAAAAATACCCATTCATCTCCATTGACTGCAGGGAGGCAGGATGTCCATCTGGACCAGTCTTATAACTTCTGTCCCTTTTTAGGCTTTAGTAGGCTAAAAACAGTAGTGGTGAATTAGAATTAGTACTGTGTAGAACGAGCAAATGTTCAAGAAAATATACGTAACCAAATTATGTGCTGTCTGTTCCACTGTTTGTCGTTTGTTAAATTGACTCAGATTGATGGAAAATTGAAAAGCAGGAAAAAAAGCAAGTGAGAGACATCAGAATGTGACAAGAGACAGGATCTTCTAGATGCGTAAGAAGAGAATGAAGCTTTACAGTGAACAACAGACTGAGTATAGCTGTTTGTCAGGTGTAGGAGAAGGCTCTTTTGCATTAGCAATAGAAGACATCTCAGAGCTTCACTCTCAGGGTACTCCTCTTGCTGTGAGCTTGTCTTCATGCAGTTTACTACCTGTTCATGACCTCCAACTTTCATAAAGTTTCATATTTTTCCTCAGCAACTAATACAAATCAGTCATTTAAACATACAAAGCTGAGCACCCATTGTCTCAAGCATAAATTTAGAGTTTCTCTCATTTTTTATTTCTGTATTATCAGTAGGACTAACCTTCCTTCATGTATAACTTGTTCTTGTCCTGTTTGCATGGCCTTCATCTTTATTTACTCACTGTGATTTTGGTTTACAATAACTAACACTGTTTTAAGACACACTTTTGAAAGATTCACTTCTTTGTAGTTGGCACCCTCAATTTCTTCTGTTTCTCAATTCCTACCCAGGAATCAGCATGCTATAACTGCTTCTTATTTTTGCCAGAAAGTGCCACAGAAGAATCCTCTCTGTAAATGAATGTGAGAGACAGAGAACTTGATGAAGGAGAGCAAGGCAGCCAGTCCATGCCTGCAGTCTTAGGGCAGGCTCAGTCCACACCTGAGTAAGTGTTCCCAAAGGGTGAGGAGTGTCTGTCCCACTTGTTTTTTAAAACGTTTGGGGATAAACACATTGCAGATCTCTTAAGGAAGACAATACAGTGTTTGGCTCTCCATACTGTTGGAACAGTTCTACTGTCTGCTGAAATTTAAGCCCACTGCTTTTTCCTGTTAGAGGTTCCCTGCTCCCTTCATTCATACTAGATTAATTTCAGTATAACTTGCTCTCTGCCGTGCACACACTGAAATTGAAATTGCATAAAGAGCCCACTTATCATTGAAATCCCACTGTGATTTCCACTTGCATGGTGGAAAGAAACCTGTTGAACAGAAAGAAGACACCATAGCTGGTAACCAAGAAAACTATTTTGCTCAAATCTCCCTGTAGTTTACGGGGAGACTTAGAATCATAGAATTGCAGAATCATGAGGGTTGGAAAAGACCAATAAGATCATCTAGTCCAATCATCAACCCATTATCACCATGTGCATTTCTTTTCCTCAAGACTGTTTTGGGGGCCAGAACCAGCAGGAAAGGAAGGAACTTCACAAATAAGGTCAGAGAGCAGCAGCTAGAGAAACAGAAGCACCTGCCTAGGCAGGATAGTACTGCAGCAGCCTGGGATGGACAGAGGTGCTGTCTGGTTCTGCTGGAAGGAGAGGAGGGAGGCTGCAGAAAGCACAGCTTGGACAT